TCCCTTATGAGGAAAGGCTGAGGGAGCTGGGTCTCTGTATCCTGGAGAAGAGGAGACTGAGGGGTGGCCTCATTAATGTCTATAAATAGGTAAAGGGCGAGTGTCAGGAGGATGGAGCCAGGCTCTTCCCAGTGATGTTCAATGATAGGACAAGGGGCAAAAGGAGCAAACTAGAACATAAGAGGTTCTGCAGAGACATAAGGAAAAGCTTTTTTACTGTGAGGGTGACGGAGCACTGGAACAGGCTGCCCAGAAGGGTTGTGGAGTTTCCTTCTCTGGAGACATTTAAAACCCGCCTGCACACATTCCTGTGTGACCTGCTCTTGGTGGTCCTGCTCTGACAGGGGGGTTGGACTAGGTGATCTTTCCAACGCCTCTTCCAACCCTTAATGCTTTGTGATTCTGTGAAAACAGAACACGTAGGGGGGTGGGAAGATTTTTTATTTTTTTTTTTTTTAATTAGAACAATACTAACAGAATTCACTGTTATTAAGTATGTACATTCTGAAACCCAGGAAGAGATGAGATGGATTTCCCTGGTAACTATTAACATGTTGCATTCCAGGCTTTGTTGATTTCTGTGTCTTAGATGCAGAGAAAGAAAAGTTAGCCATCTGCAGAAATTATGTTTTATGTATTGATCTGATGAGTAGCAAAAATTCAGATTTCCTCATTCCTGTTAAGTAGGTTTTTCAGTCATCAGACAATGGCACAGAAACAACTAAAGAGCTTGCAGCTTTTCTCTGATAAAATATTTAGAAAATTCATCTCAGTTCAGTGATGTTTGAAATTAGCTGACCAAGATAATTGCATCTGGAGAACTCTCACATTTAGGTAGCCTTTTTTGTTTAATTGCTCTCATAGACTCTTCTAGTACTATGCATTGATATAGGAATTGTTCTTATAGAATCACTACAGTTGGAAAGGACCTCTACGATCTTCAAGTCCAACCTTCATCCTAACATTTCCCTATATCACTAGACCATAGCCTCAACTTCTATGTCTACTCATTTTTTTAATACCTCCAGG